AGCATAACTTGGAGACAGTGATACCTCTGAAACAGAAACTTTGTTAAAACAGTCCTGTGTATGGTGAGCACACAGTTCAAAAGGTGGGGGTCACATGCAGTCATTTAAAAATCTGAAACCACAATCTGTAATTTAGTGATTGGGTGAGCAGCAGGTTTGGTGTAACTGACAGCTATAGAAGTAGCCAGGCAGCACTGTAATGTTGTCACCCATATAACAAGAAGCGCCTAAAAAAAATCACCACTTATTATTTTAATGAATGCTGCATATTTTAAAATATTGAGAATTACTTTTATTTATTTCAGGTACTTATAGAGTGCTGTAAATATATGCAGTGCTTTACATATATATATTGAACATTCACATCAGTCCCTGACCCTCAAGGGGCGTGCAATATAAAGTCCCTAACTCACATTCATACATAGACCTACTAGGGCCAGTTTAGACAGGATCCAAGTAACCTACCAGCATGTCTTTGGAATGTGGGAGGAAAGTGGAGTACCTGCAAAGTGGAGAACATGCAAACTCCAAGCAGGTGGTGCCGTGGCTGGGATTGGAACCAACAACCCTAGTACTGCCAGGCGAAAGTGCTAACCATTTAGCCACTGTGCTGCCCACTACTTTTGAAATTATATTAACATATTCAAGCTTATATGAGATTTTATTGATTGGTTTTATATAACATTTTACCTGTTCCCACCTAGCCAATAGCAGAATGACAACTGAGTGGGACTCTCGTCGATCTGGGTGGGCATCATATGATGTCCTTCCTGGGTCACACCTCGCACATGCCCGCGGGGCCACGCTGTACCTTGGACACAGCCGATGACAGATCTGTATGCCAGCCTGTTGCCAGTATCATGTAACCTGCTGTGACAAATGACAGCAGGTCACATGACAATTGTAAACAATGGATAGCTTCCTTTCATGCCATTCATTGTGTACAATTGTGTCACTAGCTGTGATTGGGCACAGTGATCACATGTACAGACCTGGCCAATCACAGCTCATCTGTGCCATGGCCAATAACAGCTATTCACAACAAAAAAACCTTGATTGAATTGATTTCAGTTAAATGCTTGCTTATAGCAAAGGAATTCTTTGCTATAAGCAATCATAATGTGTAAAAAAAAAAATTTAAAATACTGATCACTTCCCCAAGGTAGTACAATGTTACTATGGTAACATTATACTACTCTGGTCACAGTATATTAAAGAAAAAATGTAATAAAAAAATAAATAAATAAAAAATTGTAAATTATTATTATTATTTTCGTACTGTCACCAGTCAGTGTCCCTGACCACCACCACACCAGTTATATGATGACGCTGTACTGCAGTGGTGACAGTAAAAAAAAAAATGTGAAAAATTTTTTTTTTTTAAATTTCTTCATTTTCAAAAAAATATGACAAAAAAATTACAACTTCAAAAATCTCGCCATGCCTCTTACTAAATACCTCAGACTGTCTACCTTGCAATAAGGGGTCATTTGGGGGATATCTGTACTGTTCTGACATTTTTGGGCCTCAAGAAATTTGACTGGCCGTCAGTATTCCAGGAGTGATCATTTTTCTGATATATCCCATAGTTTGTGAATTCTATAACTTTCCTACAGAATAAATAATAAATACTGATTTGGGTTAATTTCACCAAAGACATGTAGCAGAATACATCTTGGCCTAAATTTATGAAGAACAATTATTTATTTGCAAAATTTTATAACAGAAACAAAGAAAAACATGTTTTTTTTATGTTATCGTTAATTTAGCAAAAAAAAAAAAATAAACCCAGTGGTGATTAAATACCACCAAAAGAAAACTCTAGTTGTCATTCAAAGTGTGAGAGTGCTGAAAGCTGAAAATTGTCCTGGGGAAGAGGGTGTAAAAGTGCCCGGTATAGAAGTGGTGTTAATACACTGTACATGTATCATATGGGAAGAAGCCCTATCCTAGAACTCTTTATTTATTTAAACAACTGCAACTATTAAATATTAGAGGTGTGTAAAAAGTAGTTTACAATCTAATTTGCTGTGAGGCGAAAAACAACCTTAACTTTGCTTTTAGGAAGAAAGATTGTAAAAAATTGTAATCTTATAATGCACATTGTAAATACTATATTATGTTTAATTACGCAAACAGAATCCTTTGTTCAGATTATCAAACATTGATTCTACAATTATAGACATGTGCAAAATATTTTATTATGTTGATTTATCCATAATATGGCAGCAGTAAAAAGGTGAGAATTAGCAGAACACAAACAAATGGATATGAGACAGTGGAGGTTCTTAGTATAGAACATTTGCTGCAAATGAATTGTGGTATGCTGCCACCTGGTGGTCTGTGATGGGATTTCAGTGAGGAGAGTAGGGGTACCTGTGCTTCTCAGTGGTATGAGGCACTGCTTAATTTAAAGCCATGAAGTCCAGCATTTTAAGTAAAATTTTGGGAGCTAGGGACAAAACAATAACAAAGAAGAAGTTTATTTTAAAATCATGTAAACAAATGATTAACACGGAAGAGGGCATATGTACTGTACATGTTCATAGTGTGTGTCGTACATACAGGGGCCACAATTGCAACCCGGATACACGTGGATAAGAGGGGTGGTGGGAAGCAGCATATAGAGGAACTGATCCCCTCCATTTTTCTCCTAAATCCTTTCAGAGGCTGCAGGAGGAAAATGGAAGGGATCAGTTCCTTTACATATTACCTCTCCACCCCTCCGATCCCCACCCTGCTGTGGTCAGGTGCCTATATACTGCCTTGGCCCCTCTCATCCCCAGCAGCCCTGCTGGGTTCCCAAATCCCCTCTCACACCGGCTGCTGCGGGACTTGTGTCAGGATGAGGAGCAGGGGAGGGGCTGGTAAATGTTTCATTTACTTGCCCTTTCCTTGTCTTAATGAATAGAGTCAGTAATCTGTACCGATCACTGACTCTATTCATCCATAACTGAAGCATAGTAAACTGTGTTTACTGTGCTTCAATTTGTGAATAATCTGAAAGTTCTGTACAGAGCTATTCCTGTCCATTCATTCTGAGGGTTGTGCCCTCAATCTCCTTTTTCTGTGTCAAAGGTGAAATATCAGAGGTCTGTTTAGACACCTGATATTTCACCAAAGCCCCCCAACGGGGCTCCAAAAAAATTAAATTGTAAATGAATAAATAAAATGGTAAACAATAATAAAAAATAAAATACTAAAAAAAACTACTGACACCAGTGAGGAACTACCAGGATCGCAAAGGTTGCACTTGCGATTGGGGCCTGGAGGTCCCCCACCATGGGGGGGCCCCGGACAGGGGTCAGGAGGAGCCTTTATGGTTTCTTGCATCAAGGTCCTAAAGGTTCTAGTTACACCTCTGTTCATAGTACAGCATTACTGTACAACTTTATTCATAACCGCTTGCCAACCGCGCTATAGGCAAAAGACGGCTACAGCACAGTTGTCTAGCTCTGGAAGGGCATCCATTGATGTCCTTCTAGAACCCCACTCCTTGCATGGTCACTCTGTGACCTATGTGACCTTTGGACACAACTGATCACAGATCGGGGCACAGAGCCAATCTTAGTGGCCCTTTACCATATGATCAGCTGTGTCCAATCACAGCTGATCACATGTAAACAGACTTGCAGGCTATAGGCGTTCCTTTCCTCATACCTTGTGTCTGTGTGAGGAAAGGAAAGTCAATAACTGGCAAGGCTGTCAGTACATGGTTTACACTGATAATCAGTTCCTATAAGTGCTGCCTTTCAGTGCCCATAAGTGCTGCGTCATCAATGCCTCCTTATCAGTGCTTATCAGTGCAGCTTACCAGTGCCCATCAGTGCAGCCTATCAGGGCCCATCAGTTCAGCCTCATCAGTGCCCATCAGTGCAGCCTATCAGGGCCCATCAGTGCAGCCTCATCAGTGCCCATCAGTAAAGAAGAAAAATTACTTATTTGCAAAGTTTTATAATGGAAAAAAATAATTTTCAGTCTTTTTTAATTTGTTTAGCAAAAAATAAAAAACCCATTGGTGATTAAATGCCACCAAAGGAAAGCTCTGTCTGTCTAAAAAAAATTATAAAAATTTCATATGGGTACAATGTTGCATGACCACGCAGTTGTCATTCAAAGTGCAAAGGGGGTGAAAGAACCCAGTATTGAAGTGGTTAATTACAACTAAACTCCACAAATGGAGTTTCTTTTACATTGTCCCAGCTTGGTTACATTTATTTCTTCATTCCGCACATCCACAGAGCCTCTGGGAATGCACAAATTCACTGTAGTAGCCTGTGCTACTTACTCTTAGCACTGGTCTGTTCCAGGTGCTTTATACTGAATGCAAGGGCGTTGCTTGCTTAGCACTTCCACCTGGGGATGGCTTTGATATTCGATATTATGTTCTGCAAACACACTAATGTTTATAGGGTGTTTGGTGGGCTATTGCCCCCCCCCCCCCCACGCCCCATAATGTGAAGCTGAGAATCCCATCAAATAAATTACAATTCAATCACACATTACAATTGAATCAAATAAATTTTATCCCTTCCAAAGTTTAAGGGTGGAGCTGGAGTACCAGGCCTTTCTTTATATCATGCTGCTGCAGTTTTGACCAGAGTGGTCAACTGGTTTCACAGCAGCTCTGTTAAGCAGTGGGTCTCTATAGAGCAGATTATCTCCCCATGCTACCTCTGAGCACTTCCCTGGATTGAACCTGCCTTAAGAGGGGGTTCTCTCCCATTTCCCCTTCTTACATTTCAACTTCTCCATGTCTGGGATAGATACATGAACAGGCTCTCCCTATCATCTTCTGTGGGGTCTATGACCCCCTCTTTTTGCGACCCTAAAGTTTCCACTGGCTTTATGCCACAGTCCCGCAGGCATAAGACTCATACAGGAGCAGGAGAATTTATTTTGGATTGTTCTTTGGTGGTAAGTTATGGTGATAGCAAGAAATACACAGATACATTTACAAAAAACATTTGTTTATTTTACTATTGTGGTCCAGCTTTCCTTTGATAATTAAAAAAATCAGGGGATATCCATTATCATTTACCACCAAAATAAAGCCCAATTTGTCCTTTAACAATGTATAATCCACCTGGATACACTAAGTAGTTGAGATGATATGTACATTTGCACTAAGACATGTCAAAGTTGCAAAACTGTGTTCAGGGCCAGGGGCGGACTGACCATTTGGAAACCCGGACACTGCCTGAGGGCCCGGGGTCAGTAGGGGGCCCCATGAGACGCCCCTGGTACCTTTTTCATAGGCTTTTTTGAGAGTTTGGGCAAGGACACAGGGGCCCCATGATCCCCTATTGCCCGGGGGCCCCATGAGTTGTCAGTCCGCCCCTGGTTCAGGCACTAAGTTTTGTTTTATCCTCCATCACTTGGACCCCTTATTATTTCACTCAGTAAGCTTTGTAATCCAATGCAGTTTGTTGGTTCCCAATGAGTGGGACTCACAGGGGGCCCTAGTTTTCCTAACATGCAATAAATACAGCAGATTTTGAGATGAGATTTTTCATCCAATCAACAATGTCATTGCCCTAATTAGGAATTTGTTTAAATTGTCAGTTGGTTGCTCAGTTTAGGGCAAGAGTTCCTTTATATGGGGAACAGAAAGTGAACTGTTAAAGAGTCTGAAGGACCCCTTTACCACTTTAGATAATTCCTGGAGTCCAGATTAATCATAAGAGTATGCAACAGTCATAGCTTTGAGGGCCTGTTACTGTATGAAATATCTTTGTTGATCACCATATAATAATGGTAGAAATGAAGAAGTGTCTGTGCGTAAATCCAAATAGCTTGTGTCTATGTACGTTTATGTTTGTATGTACATATACCGTATATAACACAACTGAGGTGCTAGGGTGTGCTCTACATAAATTTCTAGCAAACTTTTGCTGTCTGAGCTTAAAGTGATATTAAAGGCAGATTTAAAAAACAAATAAACATGTTATATTAACCTGCTCTGAGCAATGGTTTTGCACAGAGCAGCCCCAATTCTCCTCTACTGGGATCCCCCGCTGATCTTTCTGGCTCCTCCTCTTCTCCTAGTGCCCCCATAGTAAACCGCTTGCTATGGGGGCACTCATGGATGCTTGCTCCCAAGGCCTACTCTGTAAGACACACAGAGTGGGGCTCGCCCCTCCCCCGCCCCCGCCCCCGCCCCCCCCCCCCGGCTCCCTACTTACTGGCTATGATTGGCAGCAGTGGGAGCTCAAAAACGGGAATGGTTTTACAGGTGGAGACCAATGACATTTTTTCCCTACTCATCTTTTCTGACTGTTTTTTCACTAGTTTTGCATTTGGCTAAGGCCACTGTCACTACTAGTAGCATGAGGCAATACCTGGACCCTACAGAGGTTGCACAGGCAGTCCTTCTCCTCCAGGATGGCACATCAATACGTATCATTGCCAGAAGGTTTGCTGTGTCTCCCAGCACAGTCTCAAGAGCATGGAGGAGATTCCAGGAGACAGGCAGTTACTCTAGGAGAGCTAGGCAGGGCTGTAGAAGGTCCTTAACCACTTGAGCCCCAGAGGATTTACCCCCTTAATGACCAGGCCTTTTTTTGCTGTTTGGCGCTGCACTAATTCAAATGATAATTGCGCGGTCATGCAATGCTGTACCCAAAAGAAATTTATGTCCTTTTTTCACACAAATAGAGCTTTCTTTTGGTGGTATTTGATCACCTGTGCGCTTTTTATTTTTTGCGCTATAAACAAAAAAAACATGAAAATTTTGAAAAAAAACAATATTTTCTACTTTCAGCTATAAAAAATATATCGTAAACTCAAAGTTAGTCATAAATTTAAGCCAAAATGTATTCTGCTACATGTTTTTGGTAAAAAAAAAAATCCCAATAAGTGTATATTGATTGCTTTGTGTGAAAGTTATAGCGTCTACAAACTATGGTATAGATGCTGTAATTTATGCCTCTTTTTGCTATACAGCGCTGCACTAATTCAAATGATAATTGCGCGGTCATGCAATGCTGTACCCCCAAATGAAAGTTACGTCCTTTTTTTCACACAAATAGAGCTTTCTTTTGGTGGTATTTGATCACCTGTGCGCTTTTTATTTTTTGCGCTATAAAAAAAAAAAACACGAAAATTTTGAAAAAAAACAATATTTTCTACTTTCAGCTATAAAAAATATATCGTAAACTCAAAGTTAGTCATAAATTTAAGCCAAAATGTATTCTGCTACATGTTTTTGGTAAAAAAAATCCCAATAAGTGTATATTGATTGCTTTGTGTGAAAGTTATAGCGTCTACAAACTATGGTATAGATGCTGTAATTTATGCCTTTTTTTGCTATACAGCGCTGCACTAATTCAAATGATAATTGCGCGGTCATGCAATGCTGTACCCAAACGAACGTTACGTCCTTTTTTTTCACACAAATAGAGCTTTCTTTTGGTGGTATTTGATCACCTGTGCGCTTTTTATTTTTTGCGCTATAAACAAAAAAAAACACGAAAATTTTGAAAAAAAACAATATTTTCTACTTTCAGCTATAAAAAATATATCGTAAACTCAAAGTTAGTCATAAATTTAAGCCAAAATGTATTCTGCTACATGTTTTTGGTAAAAAACATCCCGTGCATTAGCGGGCAAACTGGCGCTATCTAGGAGGGGCGCTAACACTATCGGAAGTCACCAGTGACACTAATACAGTGATCAGTAAAAATCTGCTCACTGTAATCAATGACACTGGTGACAGGGCAGTGAAGGGGTTAACTGGGGGGGGGGGGGGGGGGCGATCAAGGGGTTAAATGGGATTTCTGGGGGGGCAAACTGGCGCTATCTGGGAGGGGCGCTAACACTATCGGAAGTCGCCAGCGACACTGATACAGTGATCAGTAAAAATCTGTTCACTGATCAATGACACTGGTGACAGGGCAGTGAAGGGGTCAACTCAGGGGGAGGCGATCAAGGGTTAGACAGGATTATTGGTGTATTAGCGGGCAATGGGGCGCTAACACTATCGGAAGTCGCCAGCGACACTGATACAGTGATCAGTAAAAATCGGTTCACTGATCAGTGACACTGGTGACAGGGCAGTGAAGGGGTTAACTGGGGGGGGAGATTAAGGGGTTAGACGGGATTACTGGTGTACTAGCGGGCAATCTGGCGCTATCTGGGAGGGGCGCTAACACTATCGGAAGTCGCCAGCGACACTGATACAGTCATCAGTAAAAATTGGTTCACTGATCAGTGACACTGGTGACAGGGCAGTGAAGGGGTTAACTAGGGGGGGGAATCAAGGGGTTAAATGGGATTACTGGTGTACTGGCGGGCAATCTGGCGCTATCTGGGAGGGGCGCTAACACTAACGGAAGTCGCCAGCGACACTGATACAGTGATCAGTACAAATCGGTTCACTGATCAGTGACACTGGTGACAGGGCAGTGAAGGGGTTAACTGGGGGGGGGCGAGATTAAGGGGTTAAATGGGATTACTGGTGTACTAGCGGGCAATCTGGCGCTATCTGGGAGGGGGCGCTAACACTATCAGAAGTCGCCAGCGACACTGATACAGTGATCAGTAAAAATTGGTTCACTGATCAGTGACACTGGTGACAGGGCAGTGAAGGGTTTAACTGGGGGGGGGGGGGGCGATCAAGGGGTTAAACGGGATTACTGGTGTACTGGCGGGCAAACTGGCGCTATATGGGAGGGGCGCTAACACTATCGGAAGTCGCCAGCGACACTGATACAGTGATCAGTAAAAATTGGTTCACTGATCAGTGAGTGACACTGGTGACAGGGCAGTGAAGGGGTTAACTGGGGGGGACGATCAAGGGGTTAAACGGGATTACTGGTGTACTGGCGGGCAAACTGGCGCTATCTGGGAGGGGCGCTAACTCTATCGGAAGTCGCCAGCGACACTGATACAGTGATCAGTAAAAATTGGTTCACTGATCAGTGACACTGGTGACAGGGCAGTGAAGGGGTTAACTGGGGGGGGCAATCAGGGGTTAAACGGGATTACTGGTGTACTGGCGGGCAAACTGGCGTTATCTGGTAGGGGCGCTAACTCTATCGGAAGTCGCCAGCGACACTGATACAGTGATCAGTAAAAATTGGTTCACTGATCAGTGACACTGGTGACAGGGCAGTGAAGGGGTTAACTGGGGGGGGGCAATCAATGGGGGTTAAACGGGATTACTGGTGTACTGGCGGGCAATCTGGCGCTATCTGGGAGGGGCGCTAACTCTATCGGAAGTCGCCAGCGACACTGATCAGTAAAAATTGGTTCACTGATCAGTGACACTGGTGACAGGGCAGTGAAGGGGTTAACTGGGGGGGGGGGGCGATCAGGGGGTTAAATGTGTCCTAGAGTGTTCTAACTGTAGTGTAGTGCTTGTGTACTCACTTTTTGGATGTCTTCTTCTCTGGCTGGAATGGAATGTGTCCAGGCAGAGAAGAATGACATCATATCCTGCCCTGTGTATATGTCAACACAGGACAGGATAGGACAGGGACCGATCATGTGATTTCAGCCAGAAATCACTGGCTGAAATCTAATGATTGATCCCTCCTGGATCAAATCGTGTCACCCGCGGGCCGGCGGGAGCGCGCGCGCCCCCTGCCGGCGAAAGTGTCGGGAGCGCGGAACCCGTTTTAAAACGTGGTTTTGCGCTCCACTGCCGTCGGCGCACGTATATACACAGTGGCAGGGCGGCAAGCGGTTAACCCATCACAGGACCGGTATCTGCTCCTTTGTGCAAGGCAGAACAGGATGAGCACTGCCAGAGCCCTACAAAATGACCTCCAGCAGGCCACTGGTGTGAATGTCTCTGACCAAACAATCAGAAACAGTCTACAGGTCTACAATTTTGTTTCTGCTGTCCTTCGACAGCTCTTTGGTCTTCACCATAGTGGAGTTTGGAGTGTGACTGTTTGAGGTTGTGGACAGGTGTCTTTTATAACTGATAACAAGTTCAAATAGGTGCCATTGATACAGGTAATGAGTGCAGGACAGAGGAGCCTCTTAAAGAAGAAGGTACAGGTCTGTGAGAGCCAGAAATCTTGCTTGTTTGCAGGTGACCAAATACTTATTTTCCACCATAATTTGCAAATAAATTCTTTCCAAATCAGCCAATGTGATTGTCTGGATTTGTTTTTTCTCATTTTGTCTCTCATAGTTGAGGTCTACCTATGATGCCAATTACAGGCCTCTCTCATCTTTTTTAAGTGGAAGAACTTGCACAATTGGTGGCTGACTAAATACTTTTTTGCCCCACTGTATATATCCAGTATATATATATATATTTGGTGTTTTTGGTTGATGATTCATTCAAGGTTATTAACAGTTGGG